CTTCATCTCTTCCTCATAATGAGCCAGATTGTAGACCCTCGCGGGAGCTCTTTCCCTAATTCTCCCTTGTCTTGGCTGAGGCTAGATCTGCTGTGGTGGTGGTGGAGGTTGACAATTTCCCGGACAGTTTATCCTCAGGTGTCCAGGCTTCTTGCAACGAAAGCATACGTTTTGCCCCAACAGACACTCTCCACGGTGCTTCTTGCCACAGTTATGGCATTCCTGCCTATCCACGGCGGGCACTTGCTGCAGTGGTCGGGGTTGGAGAGCTTGGCCACCATCTTCCTTCTTCTTCGGGTGTTCGAATTTCCTCTTCTTGTTGCTACCTGAAGCTTGAGCCTCCATGGCCAAAGTAGCTTCCTTTTCTAGCTCGATACTTACTTCAATTTGTAGCGCCCTACCCACAGTTTCTGCATATGGGAGATCTCCATGGCTCGCCACTAGGTGTCGGATAGTAGGTTTCAAACCTCTTCTAAACTTCTTCGCCCTTTTGTCATCCGTGTCCACCAGATGCTCCACAAAATAGCTCAGCCTAGTGAATTCTCTTTCATATTCATCCACAGTTAGGCTCCCTTGAGTTAAGTTCTAGAATTCACTTTCCAGTTGCTCGCAATAGTGTTGGGGATAGTACTTTTCCGCCATGATCTCCTTGAACCTCTCCCAGGTCAAATTCGTGCGCTCGTCTACCGGCTTCGTCCTCCAAAAGGTGGTCCACCACCTCTTAGCGTCCTCTTTCAGCTGGTATTAACCGCACGTTATCTTTTGCTCATTGGTGCAACCCAACACCTCAAAGATATCCTCCATGGTCATGAACCACCCGTCTACATGCGCTGGTCCTTCTTTTCCGGTGAAAATTGGCGGATCCATCTTTCGAAAATGGCCCATCATTTTAGCCTGATCTATACCGGTGGCCGGTGGCACCACATTTTGATTTCTTCTTGCCATTTCTGGAAGATACTAGAGTTAATCGCTTGCTTCTAAGCTACTATGTTTGATCATCTCTAGAGTTCGAATCCATTCATGGGTAGAATCTTAAGCCCCAACTCATGTTATTCTATTATGCACGTAATAATAACTTAACTCAAATAGCTTACCTCGGAGTTGGCATGGTGCGACGGTGGCGAGTGGTCATTTCATTGAAAACATTTTAAAATATTTTTACGAGTCTACAGAACCTCAAAACTTGGGCTCTGATACCAAACTGCAACACCCCACTTTTTGTACATTGAATTTCTAGAATAAATTTTTCTTCTTATAAAACATTTGAAAACTTTACTTGGAACTCAGGGTGCTACTTACTTTGAAAAACGTTTCATACATAATCCTTTCATAACCATAAAACTTTTCATGAACATAAACATTTCATACGTGAACTTTGAACATTTCATGGCGTTGCCTTGAGAACTTACACTTCAACTTGACTTGCATGAACTATGACTTATTTCATAAAATAAACTTTGCATAGCGGAAGCTTTTAAAACATAAATAT